ACTTGCTGAGGATGCACTCTGTCCCTTCCTCCAGGTCATTGGTGAATATATTGAACAAGACTGGACCCAGGACTGACCCCTAGGGGACACCACTAGCCACAGGCCTCCAACTTGACTCTGCACCATTCACCACAACCCTCTGAGCTCGGCCATCCAGCCAGTTAACCTGGCAGGTTTAGCAAAACCTTTCCAGTTGTATAAACATGAGAAACAACAGGTGGCTTCTGGTGTAATGACTCAGACCCTTGGAAGTTGGAAAAGGCCAGTAGCTTATTTTTCAAAACAATTGGATGAAGTGAGCAAAGGATGGCCAGCCTGTCTCCGAGCTGTAGCCACTATTGCTTTATTAATTCAAGAGGCATGGAAGCTCACTTTGGGAAAACCAATAACAGTATTAGTCCCACACGCAGTGGTGGCTATTTTGAACCAAAAGGGGCACCACTGGATTTCCCCAAACCGACTAGCCAAATACCAAGCCACACTGATAGATCAAGAAGACGTTACCCTAAGTGTGGTATCAACTCTTAACCCTGCCACTTTGTTACCAATGGCAGAACAAGAACCTTTACGACAGGATTGTTTAGCAACTCTTTAACAGGTATACGCCAGCAGGCCGGATTTAAAAGACGAGCCATTGAAAAATGCAGATTTGGAACTGTTTACAGATGGTAGCAGTTCTATGCAAAATGGGGAAAGGAAGGCTGGATATGCAGTGGTAACTCTCTGGGAAGAAATAGAAGCTAAAGCCTTACCCCAAAACACATCAGCATAAAAAGCAGAAATCATTGCTCTTACTAGAACCCTTGAGATTGGAAAGGGTCAGAGGGTTAATATTTATACTGACTCTAAATATGCCTGCGGAGTCGTACATGCTCATGGAGCTATCTGGAAGGAACGTGGGCTGTTGAACTCCCCGGGAGTAGTATAAAATATGGACAAGAGATTTTAAAATGACTACAGGCCATACTAGAACCAAAGGAAGTAGCAATAATTCACTGCAGAGCCCATCAAAAAGGACAAGAAGAAATAATTCGCGGCAACAGGTTGGCTGACCAAGCTGCAAAAAGAGCAGCTATGCATAAATCAGTGATAGGTGCCCTCAAACCTAGCAGGGAACTGTATTTAAAATCTCCACAATATTCGGGAAAAGAAAATCAATTGGCAGAAAAATTAAGGTGTACGAAGAGTGAAGAAGGATGGTGGCTAACTCCAAACCAACAAGTGTTAACCACATCTAGGATGATGGACGTTCTCCTTAAAAAGTTGCATGAAGAAACACATATGGGACCAGTGTCAAGAGATACACCATAGGACTGAAAATGCAAACAAATGCAGATATAATGGTAAGAAAATGCCAAACTTGCTGCGTGAACAACCCTAAAATTCAGAAGAAACCAGCAACGGGTGAAGTAAGAGGGGGATAACTCCTGGAGAATACTGGCAAATAGATTTCTCTGAATTGCCAAAATGTGGACAATATAAATATTTACTTGTGCTAGTGGATACATTTTCTGGATGGCCTAAGGCTTTCCCTTGTCGCAACAATAGGGCTAGGGAAGTAATTAGGATCTTATTGAAGGAAATAATCCCCAGATTCGGAGTTCCCGAGGGCATATCCTGGGACGAAGGGCCTCACTTTGTTTCAGAACTAGTTCAGGGAGTATCCAAATTCCTCCAAATACAATGGGACCTGCATACCCCTTGGAGACTGCAGTCTAGTAGAAAGGTAGAAAAAAAATGAATCAAACTATTAAAAGACGAATCTCTAAATTCTGTCAAGAAACCCAACTTAAATGGGTAGATAGTCTACCAATTGCTTTGATGAGAATTAGGATCACTCTATGAGCAAGGGAAGGGGTAAATCAATTTGAAATATTGTACAGAAAACCATATCCTGTTAATAAGACAGGAAATGGGAGTGATCGAATGCATACCAAAGGTGAGGGAATCCTCAAAGACTATTTGCTGTCTTTTTCGCGGGTGTTATCCTCTTTACACAGGTATCTCAATCAGCAAGCTCCACTTCCTTTAGACTCTCCAGTACATAATATTTCAAGCCTGGAGACCTGATTTACGTCCAGACCTGGGAGGATGAACCATTAAAAGACAAGTGGAAAGGACCTTATCTTGTGCTCCTAACTACATACACTGCGGTGGAAGTGGAAGGGATCGGCTCCTGGATCCACTACACGAGAGTAAAAAAAGCTGCTCGAGAAGGACAAAGGACATCTGCACAAACGGGAGCGCTGAAGTTAAGACTCTCTAGGAACTGCACAGGTTAACGGATTGCACTTGGAATTCTGAACTTGGGTACACTGAGTCAGAGTGCCCAGAAGGACTGTTACTGTCTGGTTGTGGGTTGGCAATATTGTTGCCTGTAGTCGCAAGATTTATTTATGAGAATACTGATCTTTTCAATCTGAACCACAATGTTTAGAGGACTATGGATGAGAACACTCTTAATCTTACTATGCTCACCTATTAGTAATACTAATCTGATCTTACAATTTATACAATCTTTTGGGAAAATGCATAATGTAACTCAGATCACTGCTTGTTTGCTGACTCCAAAGTCTGGAGTCACCAGTACCTTGGGGAATGCCCACAACTAACTTAACATCAATGTGGGAACGTATGTGGAAAAATGTACCTGATAGTACCATAACATGGTATAACAAAGAAGGGAAATATATTCTGAAGTGGACATGAATTGGGATGGAGGAACTAAATTCTCAGTTGCGGGCCACCTCCAAGATGGCTTTACAAAATCGCTTGGTCTTAGATTTACTTTTATTACATGAACACGGAGTCTGTGGCTATTTAGACTTCAGAAATGACAGTTGCTGTGTTCATATCCCTAACATCACCAAAAATCTGGATAAAGAACTTGATCGAATGAAACAAGTGGCAAAAACTAGCCGTGATCTGAGGAGCAGTGTGGAAAGCAGGTGGTTAAATAAAATATTCATGGGATGGGACTCTCTTTAACAGGTCAGTTACAGAGTTTACTTCAAACCTTGATTATGCTTGCAATACCAATTATAGTAGTTTGCATAATCTTTGAATGTATCAAGGGTATAATCATCCGAGCTGCAACGTCACGATCCTCACGTATAACGATAACTAAAAGCCTCCCTATTAAAATTAGAGAAGAATTCCAACAGGATATACGCCAATGGGAAGAAACCATCGAGCGGGTTTTTTTTTTAAGCCTTCTAAAGACAGAGATTTCTGACAAAAAAGACACTAAATGAGGATTATTTGAAATAGTTAATTATTAATCTAAGTCTCAAAGGGGGGGAACTGTTGGAGGTCTGGGAAAAAGGAGAGCGGGGCGTTCGCTCTTGCACAGACAGTGAACAAAACAAGGCCCTGAAGGAAAGAGCGAGACAACACCACGAAGCCCCTTCCCCCCGGAGCACGCGCAGCAGAAAACGAGGCTACTGTGACTCTAAACGAAGCCGAGCCCCAGCAGAACCAATGGGGACGAGGTGACCGACTGCAGCTGTACAACCTACTGATAACTGTTGCTCGACCTGTATAAAGCATCGGCTGTGCAGTAACCGGGTGTGCCAGCTTTGCGGAGTTGCCACCTAGCACCCATCTCCGCGCGGGAATGATTTAAACAAATATCTCGACTCTGTGTGTTTTGGGGCTCGTTGCACACCGGGTGACCGAACCCTTCTTTCGGGACAGCAGCAGGAGCCAGCCCGTGCCTGACTGCCTCCTACTGAATCAGGTGCCCAGGAGCATTTGAGATACCTGGAAAGGGAGAAATGAAAAGCATCCAACCTCCTGCAACCCCTGTCCCAGGTAAAGCCAGCGGGAAAGGAGCACGCTTCCCCAGAACGGTCAGCCGGAGGCGTTTTAGCTAAGAGGGCAATAGAAAAGCATCCAACCCTCCGCAAACCGTTTCCCACCAGAAAGTACCGCTGAAGGGTGCGATCTCACCATTTCCAGCAGGATCCTTGTCCCTCAGGTGTTCTGCCTGCGAATACACCAGCAATCAGCGGTGCTCCCACGGCTGAGGGGCCGGGAGCTGCCCCGCTCGGTGCGGGGCGCTGGCTCTTATGCTGCCCCCAGCTCCACCTCCTGCTCCTCCGGCCACTCGCAGCGGGAGGGGGCAGGGATACACGGAGGGAGATGTTATTAATACATTTTGCCTAATAGCAGATGAAATCATCCCGGGATGTGAGGATGTGGGTGGCTATTTGCCCTCTCGCAGCATCATTAGCTGAATTTGGAGGGTATTCCGGGAACTTGGTGTGGCTCAGACATAATTATTTCATGTCTGACTTTTGAGATGATTTTCTCCATCTAATTGAGCCTTCCTGCTCCTGCCAGCCTTGCTTAATCATTTAAGGAAGGGAGAAAACACACATGCAAATCGCTGCTGGCCAGCATCTGTGACACTTCTGGAGGCGTGAGCGGCAGCCGCCGCACTGGCAAGCCGGACGAGATTCGCTAACGTTTCCCCATGCCAGTTGGGGGCCTGATGGGTTGCCGGGCCCTGGCCGGCCGGGGGATGTTACTGGATGTTGCTGGCTTGCAGCGTGGTTGTACTTAGACCAACCAGGACACCACCTGGTTGTACCCAGTCCAACCACAAAGATCCAAACCAGTCCCGTCTGGCC